CCCACTGAATTATGATGGCATCTTTATATTAAAGCAAGGGATCATACATCTGCAGATGTGTTTCTGAGCTACTCAGTACCACTGACCTATGTGTCCAGCATTTGCAACAGCACTACACTCTTACTGTGGCTTTATAATAAGTCTCAACATCTAGTAAGAGTTAAGTCATCCAACTTTGTTCTTCTTTAAGATTACCTTGACTACTCACTAGAATGAACACTTAAAATTGGTGCGTGGATGTACGATGCATGTTATGCCTCAATAAAAAGGTAGGTAACACAAAAGGGACCTTCTGGGGGTTAGGGAGATGAGATATCGAACCTCTCTCACAGAATCAGAAATTTGTCAACAAAAGAGCCTGTGTGGCAGTAATCTAGAGTGGCCTTTATTCACGGTATGCAAGCTCCAATTTGTCACAGTTCCCACTTGTTGTTTCTGCCAGAGGCAGATGGGCCATTGCCACTTCTCATCTTATCTTAAGTCGCGCCACCCATTTACACTGCCACTTGGACCCTGGCAGTATTTGGGTTAATGGACGACTTCAGCAGAGCCCGTTGATATAGCTCTGACCAAGGGAAGGGGTGCTCCCAGCAGTGGTGAGAAGGCTACAGTGCCCTGGATAATTGAGGGAAATGGAGGGAAGCCTGAGGGGGGCTTCTCTGGAATAGGCTTCTCAACATGGCACTCCTGGCATTTTTGGCCAGATCCTTCTTGGCGGTGGGGGCTGTCCTGGGCACTGGAGGACATTCAGCAGCAGCCCTGACCTCTACCCACTAGATGTCCTCCCAAGCTGGCACAACCAAAAATGTCTCTAGACCTCGCCGTACGTTCCCCGGGAGGCAGAGGCAAAACTGCAGCCCCTGAGAACGCTGGCCCAGACATAGAGAGGAACAGGGAGAGCAGGAGAGACCCGCATGAGGTGTGGACACAGGGGTAGACTAGAGATACGGGCAGCTGCCCCCAGCTCCACCTGCCCACCCTCCCCTGGCAGGCAGAAGCAGAACAATGAATCTACAAAGAAGGAGAGGAACACTTCGACGGACACAGTGGACTGTGCCGCAGGGAGCTGAGAACAGGACAGCTGCATCGCAACCCCCTAGAGCATCTTTCACACAGAATAAAACGTGAACAATGTCCCCTGGAGCTGTGCGATGTGGTGGGCCTGGGTACAGACTATTTAAGAGCTCCTGGGTCTCTAAATTTTCTATAAATTTCTGCACTTTTCCCATTCTACCCCATCCTCCACACATATTATACATACAAATGTGTCATGTAAATGATGTTTGGGGGTAAAGAATGGTCTATGTATCAAACTCATTTCTAGGAGGCATATCAGAGCCAGAAGCAGCTAGGATAAAACCATCAATTCGCTCATTACCTCTGCCTCTTAGAACCTCCAGAAGGACTGAGATGCCGGCTCTCACTACACACGGGTAGAGGTTCAAGCCAAGGTCATTCGCATTTCAGAGGTCCTGCATCATCATTCTCTGTGTCTGTATCCCGTTTGCTTTGCTTTCATTTCCCTCCCCAAGCCTTACCTTTCTTCCCCTTGGCTTTCCTGCACCTCGTAGCTTTGATTAGGTCTAGGACGGGCTGGGGGCATGTGCTGTTCTGCATCAGTGTACCAAGGATGGAAGTGGTCCATCCCAGGTACAAGAACACGGGGTGTGTTCCCTGTAAAATTAAAGAAAATAATAATAAGACGGACTAAAAGTCAGTCTGCTTTTTTTACCACCATCCACTGGCAATTCTCAACTTGTTTAGACATTGGTCAATGATAAAATGCTCCTCCTCCCCAAAAATATTGCTGGTCTATGTTTTATAGAATTAGTGTGCCTATTGGTTTTTAAATATATTATACTTACATAAGCATAGCAACATAAGACAATTATTTTATATATGTATGTATATACATATAATATTTATTGCTTTTGGTTATGATGCTAAAGGATACTCAAAAGTATCTTAACATTTTTACACAATTTCTGTGCCAATTCCTTCTTCCTGCCAAATCTGTCAAGAGGATTCAGGGCAAATAAAGGAAGGTATGTCTGGGTTTCAATCTTATACTCCAAGATCCTTCTTATTCTACATTTGAAAGAAAAATGTGATGGGAGAAGAACCACTCATACCTGCAAACATGCATGTTTGTGCTTCTGGAACACCTCATATTTGAAAAACAACACGGCAGGACTCTGAAGTTGGAGTTTACCATGGAGATCCTATACTTGGAGCATTTCTCCTCTAGGCTTGGGAATTTTTCACAATTGTTAAATATACTCAACTAAGAACTCTTTTTCAAAAGGAATTGGATATCTCAGCTTTATTTCCACACTCTTCATTTCTGTACTTTGATAAGCCATCTTGCCAAAAAAGTTTAAAAGAGCCCTGTACCTCTTGGTCATCTCAGGGCCCTTGGTATCTTCCCCAAAAACAAAGAGTTGAGGAGAGAAAAAGTCTCCCACCATCCAAAAGGGCTCCTGCCCAGCAGTGTTTAGTCCCTTATGTTCTGGGGCTTTGGTCCTTTGGCCAAACACATACCAGAAGATGTGTAACAAATCAAACTAACAGGCTTGGTTCATGTCAGGAACACTAGTTTACAACCTTCCAATGAGGCATTTCCTTTCTAGGGAGTAGAAAAAAATTGGGAGAACACAAATCACTCCACGCATATTAGTGAAGTGACTTCATGCATCTGTTTAAATCTTCAAAGGGGCTATAATCTCAGCATGCACTATGTCTTCTTATGACATGCAAGGCCTTCCCATCTGGCTTTTTGCCTGACTCTTGCCAGTTGCTCCCCTCCACACTCTACGTCCACCCATTAAATGCAGAGAATCATCTTTTGCCACTTGCAGAATATACCAACGCTCTTATCCTGACCTGCCTTTGCATCCACAGCTTCCTCTGCCTGAAACACCCACTCCTTCTTAGATAATGCCTTTCCCTCTTTTAAGACTCTTCCATGAAGCCTTGAACCTTCCTGGTGCCCCACCGCCTGAATTAGATGCCCCTGTGTTCTCAGAGCAACCTGGCCTTTCGTCTTCAAGCGGACACTGCTCATAACGTCTTCCTCCTGAGCTCACAGCTAGATTACATTTCTGTCTCCTTTGCTGTTAACTCTCGTCACATGACTGCATTCCTGGAAATGAAATATGCATAGAAATGATGTGTGTCATTTCTGTGAAGAGTAATTGTATTCTCTCTACAGTCTCTTTTTCTCCTCAGACTGGCCAAGGAGAAAACTCTCTAGCCCTAGAGGAAGATGGACACAAAGAGTCTGGGTCCCTGCAGGACCACAAAGAAAATGGTACAACTATGAACATCCACTCCAGATGCTGAGTGAGAAATAAACTTCCATTGTGGCAATTCATTGACCTCTTAGGTTTCTTTGTTGCAAATGGCAGGATTTCTTTTCTTTTTATGGCTGAATAATGTTCCATTGTGTATGCGTACCACATCTTCTTTAACCATTCATCTACTGATGGGCATTTAGATTGTTTCCACATCTTGGCTATTCTAAATAGTGCAGCTATAAACATAGGGGTGCATCTGTCTTTTCAAATCAGGGATTTTGTTTTCTTGAGTGGAGTGACTGAGCCAAATGGTATTTCTGTTTTTTGAGGAACCTCTATATTGCTTTCCACAGTGGTTGAACCAATTTACGTTCCCACCAAAAGTGTGGGAAGGGTTCCTTTTCTCCACATTCTTGCCAGCATTTGCTGTTTCTTGTCTTTTGGATAGTGGCCATCCTAACTGGTGTGAGGTGGTGTCTCATTGTGGGGTTTTTTTTTGCATTTCCCTGATGATTAGTGATGTGGAGCATCCCTTCATGTGTCTGTTGGCCATCCGTATTTCTTCTCTGGAGAAGTGTTAGGGTTCTTTGTTACAGCAGTTAGCCAAGCCTTATTTATCATAGCACTTATCCTGCGCTGCCATTACAAGTCATTTGTAGGTCTCTGTGAGCTTGCTGGGGGAAGGGGTTCTGTCTTGGAGGGTCCCACCTCTAGTGCCTAAAATAGGGCTTGATACACAATTGGGGCACAGTAAAGCTCTGTGAAAGGGAGGTCAGGAGAGGGAACCACTGAAGGAATGGACACTGAATGAGCTGAGGCCCCACATGCGTCAGTTTTCCCTCTCTGAACCACAGTTTCCTTGACTGTGTGATGAGGCTGGCTTGACCACTTCAACTTTGGTGAGCATCAGTATCACCTGAAGGGCTTGTTAACACAAAGATTACCAGGCCCACTCCCAGAGTTCCTGTTTTGATTGATCTGGGGTGGGTCCCAAGAATCTGCATTTCTAATAAGTTCCCCAATGACACTGACAGTGCTGGGGACCACACTTTGGGAACTACTTGCCTAAATGATCTCAGAGCTCTTTTACTTCTAAAGTGGGTGACCTAGTGATCCTCCCCAGTGCTTGGGAAAGGTCTGGGTCAGTGATGTCCTGTGTCCAAGCTTAGGAGCCAAATCATGGATGGTTTTCTAGAGTTAGTTTGGCACTACTACTAGATTGGAAATATCCTATGTGTAGTCCACCATTTGCATTCACAATACAGGATAAAACCCCAATCTGACAGAAGACTGGTGTCTCTTAAAATTATTCACATTTTAAAGGTAAGAAACTACAACTGGGGTGCCAGATTACTTAGTTCGGACTTCAAGCCAACTCTCCCTGAAACTCCCCCTTCACCCCTACCCCAGCTAAGGATATGTTGATTGGTAACATTTTTTAACAAAAAGAACAATGACAAGATGAAGCAAATAACCTGACCCCACATTAAGTCATGTTTTCAATTCAGTGGATCTTTAAAAATCACTGTGAATTAGCTGTGATATCCCACAATCACCCAGTATTTACTCTGTACAGACCTTTAAGAACCTAGCTCAGATCACCAGGAGGTGAAAATAACTAAATGTCAGACTTGGATTTAATTGGGAAGATGTCCAACTCCTTTTCATTTCACTTGCATTAAATGCACGAGACCAAATGTGGACCACAATTTATTGAACACCAAGACTCCATAAAAGCCACTCTTAGTCATCATACATTTATTTTTAACATAGCACCCCAGTTTCACATTATGTACATTTTTCAAAGTTGGAGATTCTTAACTTACTATGTTCTTCACAGACTTTCCAACAAGTGTGAAAAAGAGGCAGTAAGGTTAGCTTGAGACTACAAGTCACAATCCAACACAGCCTATCCTTTATTTACGTTTAAGATCAATATACATAATGCTCCCAAAGTTTAGTAAATGAATGAGACTCTAGCTGAGTAAAATATTAACACAACTTGCTAGCACATTATCATGAAAAGATGGAAGGCATCAAATATATCTTTGCTGTTACTCATTTTACTGTTCAATGTACCTGTAGTGAAAAAATATACATTTTTACTCTCAAGGTTAAAATAGACCACTCAGCTCATTATCTCTCCCAGCCCACTGGCATGAAGACTAAAATGGCTCTTCCCACCTCTGGCTCACTGAAGACAAAAAGAATGGCGGTGCTAAAGAGTATACCGGGCTCCCAGAGTGGGTGCAGTTGACACCCTCACACAAGTTGCCTTAAAACAAAACAAAACCAACACAACCCAGTTGACCCAATCGCCATACAAAGGGGTTATTGCATGCACTGTTCCGTTCCCAGGGCAGAGCTCCCTGAAGGGGCTTTAGGATCCAGTCCTGTTGTCCAACAAAGCACTTTAGGACAGATCCAGAACCTGAGGACTTCCTTTTGCAGCCCCTTCAAATTCCAACTCCAACACTCTTAAAGTACAGTCCTCTGGTCTTCAGAGTCACAGACCCATTTTCTCCAACTTCCCATGGCCATGAACTTATAGCTTAGAGCAAGACAGGAGAACTCACAAAACATGAAAAATAAACATTCCCCAATTGTTGAGAGCAGACCAAGGCTTTTGTAACTAGAACAAGTCCTCTCCGCTGAAATCTTCCTATATGCCTCTTAGAAAAGGTTTCTTTATCATCATGTGTATTAATAAATGCAGAAAATAATTATACAAACCTAAAAGTGACTAGGTACCTGGGATGTCCTGCTCATATTAACAGACTGGCTGTTTCAAGGGAACATTTGTAAGGCAACCTCTGAAAAAGCCTATCTTTGGGGATGGAAGCAGCCCTTAGAATCTGCTTGCACTGCTTGTAAAGTCTGGCTCTCTATGTCTGTTGTTCTTACAGGTGCTCTTGGGAGGGTCACAAAGCTAGATGCATTTTCCATTACAAACAAGCAAAGCGAGGTGGCTCACAGAGTGACTCACATTCAAACTGCCATCGATGACTGACCTGTTGGCATTGATGGGAAGTCTCCCTTGGCCTGTGCTGAAGGAGAAGCAAGATAAGTCACCTCAGCACTCCAAAAACCCAAGTCTCCACTTCTTACTACAAACTTGAATCACACTGAGTAATGATGCAGAAACAGAACAAAACAAAACACCCTTTACTAGACTGTAAATTCAAGCAGTCCTTTGAAATCAGAGTTTTAAAAGAGTACACTTGAAACAGTATGACAGCTAGAAAGAGAAACCAAAGTTACGAAGTGTTCTTTACTAGGAGAAAAAGACCTCTCCACTGATATTTCATTTTGTTCACACTCATCCTGTTCAAACCACAACGTATGGAGACCTACTTGTCAATAATATGGGAAGATCTGGTTGCTATGATATTTGAAAATTTTTTAAATATTTTAAAAATCATGTTCCCTTGGTGATATCTAGTTGGGAGGTGTGATTCTAGTTCGCGTTGAACAAATGTTTTTAGCTCTAAGGTGTTATACTGTAATTGGGGTCTGTTCAACTACTGCTTAGAAAATGACATCTACAAATGCTTGCCTTAACTGGAACAAACACATCCATTCCAAGGTTTTCTTATTGGGCTTCTGAATACCTACCTATTATTACTAAGGTTGTGAGATCATTAAGAAATAAACAACTATCATTTAGAAACAGACTTTAGAATCAAGTCACATATACAGAGAAGAATGTTTTATGACAGCTCAGACATTGGTAAGAAATCAAAGGAAAATTCTTATTTTTGATTACTCACCCTAAAATGTGCTGAAGTTAACATTTGCAACCCAAGTAACCAAAGATATATTGAAGAAAACTGTAACTTACTACATATTGGGTTCATTTCAGTCACAGTAGTCTATTTTAAAAACAAACTCCCATAAGGAATATAGGAATGGAATCCACTCAAAGCAACAGCTGTCAAAAGTTCTGCCAAGAAACTCGGAGTAATTTACTGCATCATGAAAGATGAGGTGTTCAGAAGAATAGTTCATCATATTCTTTTCCTTCAGATTTTTTGTTTCAATCCAAGAGAAATATCTAGATCTAAAACTCATTAAAACATGTTTTCATATTTTACGACTGATTAGATAAATAGAATTCAACATAGTAAATAGAAGAAACCCCTATAATCTATTTTTAATATTGCCTAGAAGCTAGAAGACTTAACTTAGAATCCATAAAATCAGGCTAGCATCCCAACTCTGCCACTAGCTACCTCTTTCTATGGATTATTCGGCTAAGAACTGTGGCTTCTTAGGGCCTTGGCTTCCCCACAAGCAAACTGCAGGAGATGAATACCAGTCTCTCAGCTCTGACATCCAATTCTCCAAAGATGGTAAAATGGACACAACTGCCAGCTAAGCTGCCTCCTCTCCCAACCAGGCCCAAAGCACTTCTCTAATATTAATAAAGCAGTTAGATCCTTCCAATTAAGGCAAACAGCTACCTTGACTACAACACGCATCTCCATTCCAATACCTACCTTTTAGTTTTGCTGGAAAGGGAGGTGGTAAAAGCAACAAGCCACACACAAAACACACTTGGGTACCCAACAAGCCCACCATCAACCACTACTGTGATTTATCCTCGGGACCCCATGGAGGAAGACCACTTAACAACAAGATTATTAAACCTCTGGATGGGGGCAGCATCAACCGGCTGTCCACAGAGTTCTGCCCAACAAGCAGGCCTAATTTTGGAGTAGTTTTATAGAAGAAGTATAATGGTGATTTCAATAACCCTGCCTTCCTATAAAATAACATTAAGGGCTCACAGAAACATTACCAGGAGTTATAGCCCTAAGTTTAAAATGTACATCCAAAGAAAACAGAGAAATAGAAGATGAGCATTAGTTAGGTAATAATAATGATGTGCATGTGCGTGTGTGCATATGTGTGTTTTAAAAATCCAGTTCTTAGCAGCTGATAAATGGTGGTCACTATTAAGTCCAGTCAAGAAGGTTGGATACAAATATTGTTGGCGTGTGCTTCAACGCAATGCCTACCTTAAAATACTGGTGAAACTATGCAACTCATGGGGTGTTGATTGCCCAATGCAAGTTTTTCCCTTTAATGAAAACTAAGCCAACTAAACAAAACCCCAACCTCTTAATTGGCTTATCCACTGGCATTGGCTTGGTGGGGAAAAAAACACATCAATATTTTCCAAATGCATAATATAGACTAACATTCCTTAGTTTACATGTGTGCTTAATGGATATGAAGTGCTATCTCCAGTGAGTGCATATGCACTGGGAGAGAGAACGTGTATATACTGGTCTCTCCTGGATTGAATGTAACAAAAGGCAAATGTGCTGTGAAACGCCTGCAACAAGGACACTGTTGGTTAAGGTCTTGCTGCCCCCAGATCTCAGAACATGGGAAAAGAGGGGACCTAAAGTATTTGCACTGACCCAGTCATAATGTTAGGAGGGGATTAACTGACTCCAAGCCCTTCCCACAGCAACAAAAAAAGGCAGCCAAAAAGGAAGGAAAATGGGAATAGAGAAATAGTTTCAGTTTTGTGATTTTCAAATCAAATCAGTTCAAAATCTTTTATTATGCACAGAATAGAACCAATTTGTTTTTCTTTGGAAAAACATCATCTGTTGGAGCTCCTCTGCCATAAGATACTGATAAAGCTTGCCAATGAAATAAGGAAGCATTAAATAAACGCCTACTCTTTCTAAAAGCTGTCAACCTTACTGAAATCAAAGGCTTAATCCCAATACACTGCAAACCTATCCTAAACCACTTCAAAAAGGACTGTAGGCGCACCCCACCCTCTAGCCTAAGAATGGGTAAATTAGCAAAAGGCTCAAGAGACCTCATTTCATGCCATCAGTCTCTCCAAGTGATGTTAAAGATGGTGTGCCTTGATCCCTGTGAGGGTTGGTCAATTCCCACTTTAAACTTGAGCTTTAGGGGAAGCAGTGGCTATCCCAATTTCTAGAGGGTATAACTGGCTTCTGCCATTTGAGCTTACCGCTTTACATCTCTTACACTGGAGTCAGCTGGACTCCTCCAGACCATGGAAAAACCAATCACTTCCCAAGAGTACACTTCACAGAGAACAAACAGTCACATATCCAGTGTGAAAACTGGCCTTCCTTTCATTATTTCTTCATATCCAATATACACACAATCCAAGTCAAAATAACAAAGACAAAACTAACTACTAGAGATTGTTGAATTGCTGATAATAACCATTTCCCCTTCTTCTCCAGTTTGAATACCTGGGTTCAAAAAACAATTATGTATCTGTTCAAAGTCTCATCAGCCTTTCATATCTGATGGGTGATTTCCAAATTCATGTGTTTACAGATATGTTTCCCATGCAGGATAAAAGTAGAGATCTGGCAACTATTTAATTTGATCGGGAGAGGCAGTTAAAACAGACTGCTCTTGCCTAAAAATGTACATAAAAGGACTGAGTTACCCGGATTGATGGTCTAGCTGGGCCAAGTTAAACAGACCACTGACAAAACCTCCACTTTACAGAGGTGTAAAGAACCAGTAGGTCTTTGCCATTCAACAGAAAATGACAGTCATATATTATTCATAGCTAGATATAATATCAAAATGGCACTAGAGAAGCAATTTTTGGCATGTAGTGGTGGAGGGCACAGCGCCAGTCTAAATCTGATGCTTTTATTTTATTTCAGTTTTTGTTATTATCATCATCATGCCAAAGACTAACCAGCTGGACTTCCAATGATTCAGGAAACCAACCTACCATATATGATATACATACAAAAATAAAACAAGCATCATGATGGCACTGGGTTATAAGGTTTTGTACAAATCATAAATTCTTTGAATAAACAATGCCCTAAGTTGTTTTATTTGCTAGAATAGCTTTTGATAAGGAGCAATACCTAACACCTTGAGGAAGTACTTAAGAATGGGAGATAAATTCCACCAATAATTACAGTTTCGAGTGTGATAATCAGTTGTATTTTTTCCACCAGAGTAAAATGTACAAGTAAAGTACAAGAGAAAAGGTGATATGGATTATATTCCACTGCTCACAGCTTTTGACACAGTTTCAAACATCTAAGACAAGTAGTTGAGTTGAAACATTCAAATGAAAGATCTTGGCAGAAAAGGTCACCCATGGTTACTTGAATCTTGGGGGTCACAACACAGTAACTGGACGAAGTTGTTCCAACTGGTTTTCCAATGCAATCCGTTCTTGATGAACCTCCTGATTTGTACAAAAGAGAGAGAAGAAAAACAAAAACACAAAGGGGTCATTTCCTGGGTTCATCCCTACTTTATCCAATATTAAAAAGAAATGTATAGTTGGACCCACAAACACTTACGTGCCATAGGACTCCAGTGGACTGAAAGGCACATATTTAAAGCTGGTATGTAGACACAGGAGGCTTTACAAGTTGTAGTAATTTCTCAACTCCTTTCTGAAGATGATGAAATGAACCTGACTAAACCACTCCTTCCTCCCAGCCTTAATCTCAGGCTCAGGTTTAAAACAGCATTGGTGGCTGGCAGGGAATGACACTGAAGATTTAAAGACTGATCAGAAGGTAGCAGAAAAGCAAAAGCAGACTCCACAGGGACTAAATCTCTAGTTATAACGTCTCATTTTCGATCCAGCACTATCTATACTCAGTGAAGTCTGAGGGATGAGAAAGTATGCTGGCCACCCCTCCATCAAAGTGTTACCCAAGCTCCTGGGTAAAATATGGCTAAAGGCAGAAAAGAGGGTCAGCAATCTGCTATTTTGAAATTCAAAATTTCAGGCCCTAAAGCAGAATTACTGGCAGGAGGAGAAGGGTACACATGAAGGCATTCTTAAGTAGAATCGGTCAAGGTGGGAAAGGATTCTGCAGAAAGGCTGGATTCTGAGATGCTCCAGAAGAATCAACATGTTAATAGCACAGAACTCAATAAGCATTTATTTACCCACCCTCCTATCCTATCCAGCCAGCCTTCGAGTATCTATCTACTATTGGCCGTATTCTGTTCTAGGTGTGATGGTACCAGCAAAGAACAAGACAGCTCTGACCAATGACCTCATAGGGCTTATAGTCAAATGGCTAGAGAAAGACAAAGTTAAAGAGCAAACACTTTCAGCAGGAAATAAATAAAATGATGTAATAGAGAGTAATGGGGAATCTAGGAGAAAGACAGAGGAGTGGTCAGGGAAGGCTTCCCAAGATGCTATCTGAGCAGACTTGAATGAAATGAGGGGTGAGCCATGTGAAGATATCGTGGGGGAGGATAATCAGGGAAGACAAAATGGCAACTGCAAAAGCCCTGAAGGGGGAATGAGCTTGAACAATTTATTTAATGAACAAAAAGGTCTGTGTGATGAGCAGAGGCAGCAAAGAAGATATTGCCAGAAACTGAAGTCAGAAAGTTAGGCAGGGGACAGTGTGGACACAGTAGAGAGAGTGGACGCCACTCAAAGTGCAGGGGGAGAGCACTGAAGGCTTTGAATTAGGGAAGACATGTGACCTAATTCAAAATTTTCACTCCAGCTATAGTGTAGACAATGGATTGTAGCAGGGCAAGAGTGGGAGCAGGCAGCAGTTGGGAAGTTACTGCCTGGACCCAGGTGAGAAATGAAAATGGCTTAGATCAGCTATAAAGATGGGAAGAAGTGGATCAATTCTGGGTATATTTTGAATCTAGAACTGATAAGACTTGCTGAGGAAGTTGATGCAGGAAAGAAGGAAGGGGGTTTTGGACTAAGCAATGGATGGCTAGTAGTGGTATTAATTGAGAACTAGAAGATTGGAAGATATAGGTATTTCAAGGAGAGCGCTGGGAATTAAGCATTTGAAATGTGTATTAGATACATCAGGAGAAAAGGCTGAGTAAGCAATTGTAAATACATGTCTAGAAATCTAAGGAAAAAGAAGTAGGGCTTGAAACAATCTAGAATCACCACGTTAGTCTTTCAAAGCCATGGGACTGTATAATGTCATCTAGCAAAAGACTACAGATAGAGGTTGTAGGTAAAAATGGAACTGAACATACCTACCATATTCATTTCCTACTAGAACTCCACTAAAACAATTTCAAAAAATTGTTTTAAGTCATAGACATACAAGGACAGGGAAAACAAAAGGGATAAAAAGGTGGTAGCAATAAAAACTTGTATGCTAGAAGGCAAACTAATGAACAGAAATGACTCAGCAAATCTAAGAAAAATAAATGTGGGGATTCTACCAGTCACTGAGAATGACTCTTCCAATATGCATTATGAAACTAGGGAAGTAACCACAGGGTGGATTCAGGATCCACTGGCCCCACTGTGAGATGGACCCTGAGCTTCAACGCCACTGATCACCTGACCTCCATAAGCATCTACTCTGACTGGTGGGCCACAGAGACATCTTGAGTCTCTTGGAATTACTGTAAGTTCAGAGCCAGTGTCCAATAACCCACCCAAAATCAGACTATTTCCTTTTCCCCAAAGAACAATCACCCTGGTAAATGGCCTTTCCTTTGGGAAAGGCTAGGAAAGATTAACAGTATGAATTTTTGGTTGCATAGTGAGGTACCTTCCTTAAGGTGACCCAGATGCCCCTTTACTCAAGAGGTTCTACTTAAACTGACCTTATCTGGAAGTTCATTGAGAGGTCATGACTAGAGCTGTTTTGATGATTCTGCAGACTTGTGTTCACTAGACCTAGAACTTTTTCACTCATACAGATTAAGTAAACTGAATCACAAGCTAAGCACGGTGTTAAAACAGGAGCCAAATCGGATTTTACACAGAAGAATCCCTGAATCATTCATTTGGCAGCTCCAGATTCCTATGAAAGGGAAGGAGGACTGGCTAAAACAAGTGTTAGTTCAAAGTGTGCTTCAGAAGCAATTAGATCCCCAGGATCCTTCCTGCCACAGGGCAGAACACTGAAGATTTATTCAGTGAAAAGGTAAAACAAAGGGCTTCTAGATTAGCAATACACAGATACAGTTGAGGACAAGACACTAGACTGGAAATAGGGGGAATAAATGATCATCTTGGATTCAGAGACCCACAGCCCTCTTCCTCCACTGAATCAGGTCTTTCCCTCCATGCAGGAGACCAAAAGAGTCTCTTCTCTGGGGACTCCAACCAGATCAAAAGGAAAGAGCCAATGATACTGCCTTTGGGGGTTCCCCAACTGTATAGCCCAATCAGATGCATGAGTGAAGCCCAAAGCTGCTAAGCCCCACTACAGGCTATGAAATTCCAATCAGCATTTTCATCCCCTTTGTAAATACAAGCAAAGAAAGACCATCAGATATTGAAAGAAAGCATCTAATGAGAAATATGTACAAAATTAAAAAGCAAGTATGCAGGACAAAGAAAAATACTTCCATTAAGAGAGGCTATTGTAATGTGTGTGCAAGTTAGTTAGTAGTTTAAAGCCTATACATGCTTAAGGTACTCTACAAGAAGATATGTCAAAGACATAATCAATCCTCCCATGTTTTCTTCCATATGCTACCTCTATAGCTTTTCTTCTTCCTTCCTAATTACAACCCTTAAATAGAATTCGTGCCTCATATCGAATTTACCGAGTATCATAATTCCTCCAGGTGGTAAAGATACCTCGAGACAAGTGCTGGGCATAGAAGCCACAGGGCATAAATCTGCAAAGAAGTAAAAAGCTAACCTTTTCAACAATATGGCTTCTCTCTCACTTACCAACTTTACATTTCCCTGTATGGCCCCGGAAGATGACTGGTTAGCCAGAGACGGGTAAGATTCCTCAAGGGAGGAACAACCTAAGACAGGCACAGTTGCAGGGGGGCCATCAGGTGAGAAATCGGGGAACAACAGTGGTGAAGCTTAGAACCTCACCCCCCTGTTTTGAGAGAAATCTTCTGCATCCGTGGATGTTTTATTGCCCTTGTCTAGCTTGGATTAACACTTAGTCTACAGGCACACACCTGATCATCTACATTTGCTCTCTTACAACACTAAACTATGTTTTCTACCTTTATCTTGCATCTACCTACCACTTCAGCATTTTATTAAAAATAAAAAAAATAATAATAATAAAGGGAGAAATGTGGGATCCACATATAAATCAAGTATAAAAATCAAATGAATATTCATATTTGACCTGATTGTTTATAGCTCATAATGTGTGATCAAAACCAAAAGTTTCTGTGATGACTGCCCTTGTACTGTTTACCATGTAAGAACTTATTCACTATGTAAGAATTTGTTCACCATGTAAGAACTTGTTCATTATGCTTCAGAAGATGGGAGACTGACGAGAATTAGGCTTGAGATGGATTAATGATTGTGCATTGAGCATTGACCCCCCTATACAGAATTTTATTGTTGTTAACAACCATTTGATCAATAAATATGAGAGATGCCCTCTCAAAAAAAAAAAAAAAGAGAGAGGCTATTGTAACAATGAAACAAGAATAGGATACCATCAGAAATAATTAGAGAATAAAAAATGAACTCCTCGTTATTAAATAATAGGGGATTTAGAATTTAAAATTAAGTCTCCAGAAACAGACTAAAACAGAGGCAAAGGAAGAGGAAAGAAAGAAAATATGAGAAAATTACATAACCAAGCTAAGAGGTCCAATGTCTGAAAAATATCAGCAAGGGAGAACAAGGAAAAGGGGGACAGGGGAGGAAATAATCAAGAAAAAAATCAAGAAAATTCCCAGAACTAAAGAATACGGTTTTCCAAATTAAAAGGCCTTACCAAGTACACAGAACAATGGATGAAAATGACCTACACCACAGCAGAGGAGAGGGGAGAAAAACCCATAAGCAAACAAAGCACAAAACAAAAACAAGGTCACCACACAAAGATTCATAAAATAGAACAAAATTTTATGTAAAATTGACTATTTTTTATTTTAGTGCACAGTTCTATAAATTATAACACATGTATAGATTTGTGTAACCACCACCACAAAAAAGGTACATTGCAGTTCCAACAAAAAAAAGCTCCCTGGTACTACTCACTGAGACACAAACCCCCACTTCATGCTGTTTTCCAGCACTATAGTTTTGCCTTTTCAAGCATGTCAAATAAAAGGAATCATGCAGCACATAACCTTTTGACACTATCTTGTCTCACTCTGCATGTCTTTGAGTTTCATTCGAGTTGTTCTATCATTCCTTTTTACTGCTGAGTACTATTTCACTGGTGAGTGTACCACCATTTATTCATTCATCCTTTGGAAGACATTTGGGCTGTTTCCAGGTTT